GCTGTTAGTTGTTGACAAAAATAAATATTTATTGGTGGTATACTGTTCGAAAAATTACAGTGATGATGTTGATAAACCCTTTTTTTTTTTTCTGTTGTTTTTTGTTGTTACTGCACTAATGTTGAAAACTTTACATTGATATAGCTGTCAAATTTATCAATCTTTTTAAATTGCTTATTCAATTTTATTATATGTCTGCAAAAATTGACAATATACTTATGCGCATACTTCAAATTACCGTACTAAGCACTTTTACACTGAGATTGATACACATATAATTTTGTCACTCTTTTTTAACTTCTTTGTTGTTGTTTCTTTAGTTAATGTATTGTCAATTAAAACGAACAAAAATATAACAGTTTTTGATTTTGGACATTTGGTGTGTTTATTTGTTTGTTTTCTCAAACTTTTTTTTTTTTTTTTCAAAATAAATAAATGATAGTAATTGCTTTTACAGTAAGCAATAAATTCTTCAGAAAAAAAAAAAAAATTATGTTTAATTTGTAGAATCAGAATTACAATTTTTGACTACATTTAATGATAGCAAATAATTTTATATACCAATTTTGACAAATAAAAATTTCAATTTTTTTTTAACGCTATATTCAAAATAAGCTATGCGTTGATAGGTGCAGTAACAATTATTGTAATTGATCAAATAAACAGATAAATGTTTCCTTTTTTTGATCGAAGATTATATTTGCTGACAAGTAATGAGTTAAATGTTACAATTTTCTTGGCAATTTTTTTTTTGTATTAATAACAAAAAAGAGCGTTAAAATAAAGAATTAAAATATTTTAGTCAAAAGCAAAAAAAAAAGCAATGCTTTTTGTTTTTGGTAATAGCTGCTAACAAAGGTGGAAGACTGAAGGCTCTGATGTGTGTTATGTTACTGCTTAATGCTGATGTCAACCTTAAACACTTCAGCCAATATACCAATAGCGACACTTAACCAAATATTTGAATATTTAAATAACCATCACAAAAATATGCTTTAGTGAACAAATTTTTTTTTCAACCTTCTACTCTTTTCTTTCTCTATTCCTCTTCAAAAGATAAGGAAAAAAAAAAAAAGAAAGAAGGATAAAAACTTCTTTAAGATCGTATATTTATTGTATGCTAACAAACTGCAAAAATAATACTAGAAAAAAAAGAGAACGAGAAGCCAAAAATTAATTATTGAAGACAATTCAGGTGTAATAAACCCAAAAAAAAATTTCTTTTCTGCTTATTTCAACCTCTTTAAATTAAAACACTAATAATTCAAACACATTGTTAAGCTTTTTTTTTTTTTTTATACAAATACCAAATTTTTGATTTGAAAACTGGAAATGAATTTTTGCTACAAAGCTTTTGGACAATCAATGAAGAAGATTTTTTTGTTGTACAACAGTGCTGATTATGGTATCTGTTGCGGTCTGTTGATACCAGAAACTGTTCACATTGTTGTTGTCTTTGCTTTTTTTGCAGATTCTACTATGATTGCTGCTAACTATGCAACTTTGTATTTTATTTTCAACTTTTTGCTGTCAATATAATGATTTAAGAAATTTTTTTCTTCTTTCAAACAATCACAAATATTTTCCAAAAAAAAAAAATTTTTTTTTGAAGACAAATATTTATTAGCCAAAAAAAAACAAGAAGAAAGAATAAGGAACGAGAAGCTTAACAGTGTTGTAAGATGAAAGTTAAAAAGTCGTTAAGCTAAATAGCAAATAAGAGAAAAAAAATGCATTTTTTTTCAGCATTTTAAAATGCATTTACATGTAGAATTTAACCTGTTCTTTCTCTTCATCTAACAGCAGTTTTTGCAGAGTATATTCATTTACAAATCACATCGTCGTTGTCACCTTAGTTGTTATCCTCGTCGTCATCGTCGTCATCATCATCACCATCATTGACATCGTCAAATTCAATAATTGACTTTTTCATTTTTAAGATTAGCCTCATCCGGTTAATAAAAAATTTCTTCAATTACTGCAAAGCTTTTTCGCTTATTAGATTTTAACAGATTCATCAAACTTCACTAATTTTAATTGCTAAAAATTGGCGAATAATTGTCGAAATCATTTTTCGTTTTTTCTGTCTCCTTCTTTGTTTTTTTTCTTTTTTTTTTTTTCACTTAAGTTTTACAGTGCTCAGCAAAAGGCACTAATTCAACTTTGAACTGATATTATTTATTCCCCCGAAATTGTTTTATTATTACGATCATTGGTGTTTCAAATTTTGTTTTTAACCATCACATAATGAATAAAATATATGTGATCAACTGTTGCATATATATTATTGACAAATCAGCAGCACTTAATAACTTCTGAACTCAATACTTTTATTTATTCTACAAATTTTGAGGCTTTAAATTTTATGTTTAAACTATTTGTCTTGATATTCTTCTATATTTTTTTGTTTCTAACAGAACTTAATAGTGTTGGGTTAAAAGCTTCAATATTTTATCATTTCTGTAAAATATACTGTGTAAATCGTTCACCAAAGTTTGTCTTCTGTAATGTCACCGAGATGAAATTATTTTCTCTGTAATTTTACCTATATCCATTTTTACATTTGCTAACTGTAGATGCTAATGATTACCAATCTGTGTCAAAAACAACAAAACTGTTTGTTGCAGCGGCAGTGGAGAAGAAACAAAGAAAGAAAAATAAGGAAGAATAAGGGAAGTTGAACAACAAAAAGTGTGCTTCTCCAAAAAAGGCTACTATAGCTGTTCTTTGCTTAAAAACTTGTAAAATGTTAAATGACAACAAAAGAACTGTGTACTGTAGGAAGGAACCAATAGCATAGTGAAGTGAGTAGAACGAGTAGGACAAACAGTAGTTTCTGAAAAAGTAATAGTAGCAGCAGCAGAAAAAGGAGAAGATTACCGCAACCACGACGACGACGACGACGACGAAGAAGAATATTGGTGTATTCAAACTGACTGAAAAGTTTTTGAACAACTATTTGAAGGCGTCTATTTTCCTATTACGTTGACATACAATTCGTCTTTCCGTCCTCAAGTCAACTAGTTTCTGCCTTACCCAGTTAGGAGCAGATTGTTAGAAGGACAAGAAGAAGACAAAGAAGAATAAGAAGGAGAAGAAGAAGAAGAAGAAGAAGAAGAAGAAG